CCTCTTGCAGTCTCATAGTTGCTTTGTAGGGGGTTACAAGAAGTTGATATATAAACAGATGTAATTATTTACACCAGTTTTAGGTCGTCTCTTAACAGCCCACTCTCTGACCCATTATTGTTTACCTTCCCAGTGCTCCCCTTCCGTTCCATTCCTGCAGTTGGCAACTGTCCGTAAGCTTCACATTTGTGTTGGAGCTTAGATGGGGTTAGTTATGTCCTCGTTAAGTGACCTTGTTCAGGGCCGTTGATTGGCCTATTAGACCTGAGTACTGCATCCTGGGAAGCGGTTGCATTCTATCTCATTCCTGGGAGTATCGAATGTTTGCGATGGCTCTGATGGGGTAACAGAGTGGCGGGGAGTGCAGCAAAGGTTTAGTGTAAGTGGGTCATGGAGTGCCCTAGTAAGAGACATTTTCACTTTGAACTGAATGAACAAAGTGATTGTTTCTTTAAAAAAACATATAGAATTATATTTCTAATGCGTAATTTGAGACTACAAAGTAAATGGTGTTAATATCTGCATGGAGTTCAACTTTAAAAAAAAAAACAGAAATGCTCACTGAGAGGATGATTTAAACTTGATTTGCTACAGAGTACACGTATCCTATGTGCCTTTGAACATCCTCAAAGGCACATAACCACATTTCACATTCAAAATAGGAATATTGGGGCTCCCAATTCACAAATTGTATATTTTTTGGTTCTGGCTTCTATTTTTTTATTTTTTTTTTAAAAGCTTGTGTTTACGAATCTCATTACCTCAAGCTGAGACGTACACGTACAAGTGAGTAACTCAGTATGTGGTTTCCCTGTATAAAGCCCATACATGGCAAAGCTGGAAAATCTGTGAGACGGGTGCATTCAGTAAAACAGTGATTGTGTTTGTAGAAATATGTTCTATATTTTCTGTGGGAAGTATACATTCTTTGGGAATTTAGACTTTCTCATGAATACAATGCTTGTTGCTCTGAGTGACACAGAAGTAGAAATAACTCTAAAATGGATATAAGTTGTACATATAAAAGTGAATTTTTCACAGTCAAAAAAAATCTCACACTAATCGTGGTAAAAGGGGAACAATGCTCCATTGAAAATCTAACTTCTTGGTATAAAGTGTCATTTGATAAGTTCGAGAGAAATGTGCAAAGTATGGTAAACCTCCAGCTTCCATCCAGATCTGTTTTTGTTACTGCATTGCTGTTTAACCTGGCCCGATAGCTTGCCAGGGAAACCTGAACACTCACCTCTACTGGATAACAGATACCAAACCTACTGATTTTACATAAATGTTCTGAAAGGGTGAAAATGAAGGGAAATCTTAGGTAATGGCAGCTTGCTCATTCTGTTAAAACGTGTAAGGAGCAGAATTTTCTCTCCTTACACGCCAGCACAGAATGGATCCCGGTTGGTTGCTATGGGCACTGCACATTATACATGCATCCCTTACAATGTCTTATTGGTGCTATTCAACTGGTTGCCAACAAGTGCAAGTATTGTCCTTTTAAACCAGGAGAGTAATGTGACGTGGGCCTTGGGTTAAGGCATCAATCTTGCACCAAAACTACCATAACTAATTGCTTGGTACTGAAACCTAAGTTACCGTGTCAGCCTGGCAGGGCAGGACCTTCAAAAGCAAGTTGACAACATCTGCTCCTATGTTCCTATCCTGACAAGTTTAAATGTGTGAATCTCATATCAGCAGTTTCTTAGGCTCCATTCACACCTAGGCGTCAGCGGTTTCACGCCTATTAGCGCGTGTGTTCGTCCAGCGCATTTTTGCGCAGTTTAGCCATGTGCAAATGAAAATGCACATTTTAGCAGCTAGGTTGAAAGACATTGCAATCAATGGAAAAACATGCACAGAAATGGGAAGACAGGTTGTGTTGTAAGTTTCCAGGCGTTTCCATTGCAATGGGGCTAAACAAGCTGTAATCTGCCCCCTAAAAAAAGCTTGCGTACTTTAATCTGCCCCCTAAAAAAAGCTTGCATACTTTTCTGAACAGGGACCATAGAAATAAATGGGATTTTTTGTGTTAATAGTTTTGTTGCACTTAGCTTAGTCCCTGTTTACACCTAGGCATTTTGACGCTCAAAGCAAATCACGACAAATCTCAGTAATTTCTATTGCTTCTGTTCACACCTGAGAGTTTTTGTTGCAAGCTGTAAAACGCAAACACTGGAAAAGCTACATGAGCTTCTTTCAGGCGGATTACAGCACGTTTGGCCGCATAGACTTCAATGGAAGTGCATGAAAACACCCAGCACAAATGTTTTGCACATTTCTCTGTGTGCACGTTTGTTCATCGACCACAATGCATTTAAATCAGCCTAAAAAAAAAATGCACGTCTAACACATAAAAATGTGCAAAACCACATTAGATGGTACACTTCAAAATGTGCGCTATATGCGCAAAAACGCTGATGCCTAGGTATGAACAGAGACTTGCTGTACAAAATACCCAAAGGTACTGCGTCTTGTTAGTAAACTATCAAATGACACATTTTTGAAACATTTATTGATTTCTTCTCTACAAAAGGAAAACCAGGTATAAGACAAGTCAATACACTTTAAAAGCACTAAATATAAACAAAGCTTAGAGTACATACTGTATTAGGAAGTGGGGATAGAAATTGTAACAGAGGTATCTCTTCCTAAAGGTTCCCCATAATGCAAAAATATATAAAACATTTACAAAACATTATGCAAAGAAAAGAAAGGCACAGCCGGTTATACTTTACAAAAGCTCAAGTGCATAACATAGATTTGTGGGGAGGAGCTGAGCCTTCCATCCTTCACTTACACAATGTATAGCTTGATTTGGACAAGATGATTGGACAATGCATAACACTTTGGAAATACTGTGAGAATCCTAGAACATGTTCAATGCTTTATACGGCATCTGAATACTTCAGGGTGGCATAAAAAAAATTGGTCCTTCCATCCAAAGTTTTTGGTAAAGGCTGGACAATGTCTTGGGTATTCCTGTGGTGAAATATTTGGGCCTCAGTTTCCAGGTCTGGGCTTCAGTTTCCAGGTCTGAGCACTTGCCATAGTCCTTAAGAGCGAGGCCATTCTGCTGGATTATTTTTTTTTTAATCCATTTTCAGGATTTTTCACATCGGGCGAAGGCAACAGGAGCAGAGGAACACCTCTGTGTAGTAAAGGGGACACACCTAAAACGCCATGGTGGACATCAACATGGTCTGCAACTATGACATGTCAATCTAGCTGCTCTAGTCCCCAAGAGGTATAGGAAACCAATTAGACTCTTGCTACTACTTCTGGGTGGACTTTCCCTTTAGACAATAATGCAAAATCCCAGGCCAAAACTTTTTTTTTTATGGTTTGTGAGGATGTAAATGAACACCTGGTTTTAAAATTTGAGTGGGCCTTTAACTTTTGCTGGCATCACCCTAACTTTTACGGCAGCAGAATTGGCACGTAAACAAACTTGTGACCATTCTAGCAGCCAATCGTTTGTTTACCTTTTGTACCGTGAGGTCTCCGTTTTTTGTAGAAATGATTCTGCTGGTTTTACTTCTACATGTACTTGAAGGTGTGACCCTTCCCCACCATGTGTTCCACCGGAAGAAGAGAACATCCATTCACTGATCTACCCTGTGAGGAATGCAGCTAGAAGCACTCAGCTCTGAGCACTTCTGCACTCAGAACAGTCAATCACCAGCACCTCTGGCTGCAAAAGTAGCAGGCTGCGCACAGTCTGGGCATGATTGGCTTCAGCAGAGTGCAGGCGTAATGTTAGGCCTGATTCACACCATTTTTGCGCGTTCGCAACATATGGTTATTTGCGCGTTTATGTGCTTTGTGCAAATTTTTAGTGGCAGCTCATAAAACATTGCGGGCAATGGAAGAAAGCACAAATAAACACGTATAAACGCTCATGAAAATGTGCAACATGCTTCTGCCGTGCTTTTAACTGCCCAAAGAAGCTCATGTACCTTTTCGGGCGCTTGGCGGTTTCCTGCTGGCGTTTTTCTGCTCAGGTGTGAACCAGGGCCATTGAAAATCCTGGGATTTCTTGTGTTGAGCATTTTAAAAGCGCTTTTCGAACTGCTCAAAAACTCCTAGGTGTGAACCAGGGCTTAGGGGTCTAAAAGATCCGTGATGTGTCCTTTAAAGAGGACCTATCACTTACACTGTTACCACACAGGAGGTTTGTCAGCCTAAAAAAAAAAAATTTTTAAAGCTTCATAAAAAAAAATTAAAAGTGTAAAGCTCCCCGCCCCACTTATATGCACATAAAAAAGGTGCACATCAGGGGCTTGTACGATGATTGCCTAACACATTAAAAATAATGCGGTGAGAGCAATAGTTCTAGGTGCATCATTTATGGTTAACCCTCAATTTGGGACCTGTAAAGTCTTTTATTGCATTGCCTGTGGACCGTTTTGGGTACTGTAGTTTTTCATCATTATTCATTTCATGATTAATTCCGCAAAGTAAGTTTCCGGGCTTTAAAAGAGAACTATGGGGTAAATGTTTTTCCCCATAGTTCTCTTAAGGGTCACGGGAGGACATATACTAACCTTCTCCCGTGACCCAAAGCTCAGTACATCGCGAGCTACAGTTCGCTATATACTAAGAGCGCCGTGACTGATCCCGCCATTACTGTCGAGATCCACCCAGCTGCGTGATTGACAGCTGGCTCTGCCTTTCTAGAGGAGTAGGGCAGCAGTGTAGCAAGCAGTCTGTATTCGCCTTACACGGGGCTATATATGTACATATTCCAAGTATTGTAAAATGTACATACCCATGCCAGGTAAACCAAATGAAAATGACTCGAGTTTTGACCATCCATTAATCAGTAGTGTCTGTGCATAAACAAGTATTGACCAGTACACCACATACTGACATCCTGAACCCTCTTGAACCTTAAATGACCATCCATCTAAACAGCCCATATTTGATTAGCAAAGTGTTCTCACTTAGCACTCCCTTAAGAGGTTAATTTTTCTTCATTAACCATAGCACATCTATACAGAGTAGCACAGAAATATCCCTGTGACAAAGAATGTGAGAATTGGTACTATAAAAAAGAAAAAAACAGACAATGGTGTCTGCCAGTGCTTCAGTGTTAAGTATTGTGTGTAGTGATCAGTGTCTTGGAAACTCCAGGCCAGTCCTCCTCTATAAATGATGTTTCATTTCTACATCAGTTAAGTCCATAGGGCACTTAGACTTCATCAGGACTTTTGTGAGTTAGATGATAGCAGCACTGGAGATGAAGCTCTGTCCAACCCTGGTAGCTGCATTGGCAGGTGACTGTTCAGCAGGTTCGGAAACTTGAAAGAAAACAAATTGTCATTATTTATATAGCACCATTTTTTTTTCTATAAGCCCCACAATACTTTTCCAGCAGTAGCTTTGCGCTTATATTTGCATTCATGTTTCACTGGCGTTCCTGCTACTTTTGTGAATTCATAAACTGGTTAAGCATCTAGTGTTTATGAGTAAGCCTAAACAAATATCTGGCACTGAATAATTGTGGTTTTAGGACTGGCATTGTGAACACTTGGCAATCAGCACCCCAGTATACATTCTCCACTGTGAGCCAACATGTCAAAGATACCCACTAAGGGAGCGCAGGGGCTCTCAACTGGAAATGTTTCTGCATTACCTATGTGTATTCTTATCAGGGGCGTATCCACCGCAAGGCAAACAAGGTGTTTGCCTTGTGTGGCACTTTCCAGGGGGTGGCAAAAAACCACCTCCCCCAAAACATTGAAGTGAGTTGCACAGAATCAGGCAGCCTCAGCTGCCTAATCATAGAGCTCCCGCAGGAGGAGGTGGGGGAGGCCAGGGCCCACCAGTGAGCTGCTCAGAGCTGACAGAGGATGTCCTGAAGGCAGGCTGGGTAGCTGCAGGTAAGAGGAGCACATGTGTACAGGGAAAGGGACCCTGCAGAGCACACCATAGATTCTGCACAGCTCACCTGAGAGTCTCCTGGCAATGCAGGATCTATGGTGGGCTCTACAGGGTTTCAGGCTGTGCGGGATCTGTGGTGGGCTCCGCAGGGTCTCAGGTTGGCTGTGCGGAGTCTATGGTGGGGCTCTGCAAGGTC